TACACAACTGACAAGTTTATTCTTCTGATTGTACAAATGGCTCATAACATATTTCACAATTTTGAGTGAAAAGTATTTCATCTGAATTTTTGCATATTTTGTAATTGCTATATGACTGATTTGTAAAGCATCTTGAACACACACCTTTTCCACTCAAATAAAACCCACTTTTACACATACACACTTTATTTTTAACTTCAAAAATCTCGGGGCAAGCAGTGCATCCCGAGACAACATCACACATGTTATCAAGACAATTTACGTCGCAAAATTTACATGTTCCTTCATCCAAATATTTTCCATTTTCACAACTCAAACAATTGGTTTTGTTTGTACCACATGTTTTGCAGTTATCATCGCATTTGAAACAGTCGTGTGAAATATTGAAATAATGCGAATCTATGCACAAACTGCACCCGTCTTGATGGCAATTTCCATTCACACAATTTAAACATGGAACGCAGGTTGAATTTTTTAAATGAAGATCTCCATCTTCACACGAAGTGCATTGAGAAGACGATTTCGAACAAGTTTTACAAATCTCATCACATGGAAAACAATCATAATCTATAGCGAAATAATTATTATTTGTGCAAACAGCGCATCCACTTTGCAAACAATATCCACTCAAACAATTCTTACATTGAAGGCATTGGTTGTTTTTTAGATATTTCTGGCCAATTTCACAAGAAGTACAATTCGTTGAAATGCCTTCACATGTTGTACGATTTGAATGACATGGCAGACAATTGTACCCGGATACATAATAATTCGAGTAACTACATTGAGTACAGCCATTTTGATGGCAAGCTCCTTTTGCGCAATTGCTACACTGAAGGCATGTGTTGTTAAAGAAATAATAATTACCATCTTTGCAGGATGTACAATTTGTTGCTGAATATTCATAGGAATAACAACTTGTCGAACACGATAAGCAAGCTCGATTATTAAAATAATATCCAAATGGTTCACAAGAATAACATTTTCCTGCTTCAGTGGTGGAACAGGTAATACATCCTTCATAACACTGAATACAATTTCCATATGAAAGATAATACCCTTCTACACACGAATAAGATACCCCACCGGATGTTCCATCACATGTAAGACTGTTTGTTAGACATGCAACACACTTACCCGTTCTGATGTAATATCCAATAGTACACCCCAAACACACAAACGTGTCTGGAGTACAGATAATGCAATTATCCGGACACTGGGTGCAAGTGTGGTCTCTGTATGTGTAACCGATTAAACAAGAATCACACTGTTTATCTAAATCACCAAAACACGTTTTACAACCAGTCGCACATGGATAACAATAATTTCTGTCTTGTCGAAACCCATTTTTACACGAAAAACAATTTCCGTTTGCATATCCATTACAACTGGCACATCCAGAAAAACATGGGAAACAATTACCATCTGCTTTGTAATAACAATCTTCACATAAGAGACAACTCCAGTCGTTGGAATCTGTGCATTTTATACAATTTGCTCTACATTGTT